GGCAATCCTTTTGTCCTTCGAATTGCTTTAAAGCTGGGGATCTCTGGTTTGCGGCCTTGAAAGATATAGACATTAGGGTTTGCAAGTGATTCAGATTCTAGGAATCGTTGCATGTGCTTTCTAATAGAGTCATGAGATATCAAATTGCTAGTCCTTCATCTGCTTAAACCTCTCCACTACCTGCCGATAACTCCCCGTTTCCAACTCCTCCACCAAGCTCGGCCCCGACGGCTTCCACCCCAACTTCTCGACAGCCTTCCCATTCGAAGCCCGAATCTTCAGCCCAAAGAAGCTTGACAGGAAAACCCCCCACCTCTCCTCCGCCTCCTCCCTCTCAAATTCCCTGACCGGGACCCCAACCGCCCTCCCAATAGCTCCGGCCAGCATCCCATACGTCGTATCCCAGTCGCCCGTCCCATGAAATATTTCTCCGGCTTTAACCGTCTTATCTGATGCCAGCAGCAAGAACAACGCCGCTGCATCGTCCACATACACACTGGTCACGCACCCATCTTTTACAGACGCAATATACCCGCTCACCCCATTCTCAACAGCCATATTGATCATTCTTGCTGCGAACCCCGTCTCGTTCGCCCGGCCGTACACATACGGCGGCAAGCGGACAACATTAACCCGCACACCTCTCTCCGCCCACGACAGCGTATGCTTCTCGCACACATGCCGCCTGACCCTGGTGTTTTTGGTATAGGGCGCTGACTCGTTGACGACGCAGTCACCTTGGTCTGGGCGCACGGTGAGTATCCCGCTCGCGACGATGAGGGGTTTGGAGGTTCCGACTAGCGGGGCGGCGAGGGCGTCGACGGCCTCAGAGTCGAGCTTGATGATTTGGTCGTAGGATTTGCTGAAGTCGTGGTCGAAGGCGAGGTGGAAGGTGGCGTCTGCTTTTGCGGATTGTTCGCGAAGAATGTTGTGTGTGGCTAGGTCGCCGCGGATGGGGACGGCCCCGATGGAGGTGAGAATCTCGTCGCGTTGGGGGCTGCGGGAGAGGCCGTGAACAGTGTGGCCTTGTTGGATAGCAAGTTCGGTGACGACGCGGCCGATGAAGCCTGTTGCGCCGGTTATGAAGATGTGCATTGTATACTCTGTGGGGTGAGCGATAGCTTGGCGGTATTCTTGGTGGTGATGTGGATGATGGGGGCTCAGCCGCGCTATATACCGAGACGGATTTTGGGTCATCGGACTTAGGGGTTTAGGTTGATGCGGACAGAGGATTATTTGGAGACAAGTTGATCCTTGCAGGATAATGATTGAAGCCGATTGTGCCGATTGATTATATGCCTCAGATAGCCTGTTCATGGTTGAATAATGAATTGGGTTATAGTCAATGTTTACACTTTGGTCATCTCTTGAATAGTTAGCATTTGCTCGAGTAAACGTACGGAATATTGAAAAAGACTTCCATGACTTTAAACAACTCTTGTTTCAATGCTTGACTAGTAGATTGAATGTCATTGGCAATCTCATGCAGCCAATGACATCAACCTCGTTTTGCTTGTCGGCTTGAATCATCATCCTCCTCGAAGGACATACATATTCATCGTATCCACCATCAAAAGCACCAGCATTCTTCTCATCTGTCATAATCGAGCGTTCCAAGTAAAATGCCCAAAGTAGCCATCGCAGGAAGATCCAGCCCAACCCGGGGCGCATCTATTCTCGCCCCTCTCTAACTCCCACTGGACCCCGGTCATCCTGTAGCAGCAAACTAGCAGTCCTAAGCTTTCACATCTAAGCACTGAAGCCCTGCTATGTTGATGATTCATCCCATACACCTCTTGTCACTGCACTTAAGGATGTCGACACTGTCCTCAGTGTTGTACTCATACCCAGCCTAGAAAGCATCACCTACCAGCTCAACTTTCTCAACGCCGCCATAGAGGTGGGCTGTCGGCGGTCTGCATCGTCCAACTTTGCCCTTTGTGGGGGGCAGAGGCGTAGGTTGACCTGCTAATGCTGAAGAAAATAGACTAGGAGGCAGTCAAGGCCAAGGTTGATGAAGGACTAATTAATACAGCGCGTTTCCCATGCGGTATGTTCATGAATTGCCTGGGGATCAAGGTCGGAGGTGAGAAAGAGAAGGGAGCACATGCTAGGTTTAACAAGGGAGTGTTCCTCATACACTTAGATGCTAGCTAGCATATATGGTTATCCCCACGAGATAAGATGGATCGTCACTGACCCTCATGTTAACAAATATTCGGGACATGGCCAACTTCCTGGTTGCTACGTCGGAGATGAAGAAATAAGGAGGAAGGGTAATACCCTCAGCTTTGATTAATTAGTTTAACTTTGCGAGGAGTATACCAGCAAGAAGGTTAAGGTACAGTGGGTAATAATGCAGCAGCTAGAAGAAAGATTAAAGCAGCTTCCGGACAAAGACTACATCAAGCCATATGGACTGCCAGATAGCCATGGCCTGTGCGAGAGACAGTTTAGTGGTGCCGGGGGGTGTTGAATGAGGTGTGCAAGTCAAGCCGGTCAAGGTGGAAGAATTTTTGCAAAAGTACCGAGATCATACCCAGAGAAAATAGCGATAGGGTTCGTTGGTCAAAGTATTATACCACTATGACTATGGACACGGAATCCCTAGACTAAGGAATACATGCCTAGCGGTATTGGCACTGCCATGGCAGTGACATCCTAGCTCATTGTTCGATGCTTCTTCCACTCATAAGGACTCGACGATCTCTATGATACCTTGGCCAGTAACGTTCAAAGACTAGACTCTGTGATCCATTGATGAGATTCTGTCGCTCGCCTTTTTCTTCCACCTCCATTCGAGAAACGCACCGTACAAGAACATAATCGCCGCTTCTTCGAGGTTGGCAACCTATATCCGAGAACGGAGACACAAGGTTAGGTCGCAAGGGCCAATCCCAGACCGTTGAAAGACCATACATGCTCTCGAGGCCCCGTTGATTCAAGCCAACGGGGTTCTTGATTTTCTTGAAAAGGCTTGCACTTTCCTTACTTACTCCATCCTCTCTTTTGGACATGCAAAATCAAGTGCGTACAGAACACTGAGTTGGATGATTCCCTGAGCCAATAAGCTTCAGAAGTATTGAGGTTCGAAATGTTGCCATGACTGATTGGAACACCTCTATGGTTAGATTTCATCAAGATCTTTTGTGCTTAAGCGAATATGGAAGTCATTTATCGATCGCTTGTGGCTCTCAGACCTCACCTGGCTATTATTGCCACTCTTCTGGTTCTTCTTCTGTCTATGTTTGATCCTGGTATTTGTGTCGGACCCTTTGAAGTCAACCCTGACATTGTATCTCTTGGGTTTCGTGTCGATGTACATGTCGTAAAGGATGGACCCTTATATCTCACTGTGGTGTTGAAGCAGTCTTGTATGAGTACTACATTCAATATTACTAGATTCCTGTTAATTGCCTAGAGCATTTGCAAGAAGGCATATTTATATAATGAATCTCAGTGTCTAAAGAGCAGTAGCTTAAAGCATGTCATTTTCATGACCTTTGATGATGGAGTGGAATGGGTTTTTAGATCACCAGAGACAGCCAATGGGCTCTAAAGGGTTATTACAAACGAGGTCGCGGTGTTAAATTATCTCCAGAGAGCTGGGAACATCCCTGATCCCCGAGTGTTGTCTTACTGGTGACTTCTGTCCAAAGTCAAGACACAAGATCAGGTGTTTATGACAAGTTCTCTCAATATACCCGTTGCAGAGTGCAAAATTGCATTATCCATCACAGTCCGCAATAATGTACCACCTGCACCACCTCCATACCACACTGGGACTGTGAGTGTTCTCCATTTGGAGCCTATCCAAATCCCTTATCAAGAGTGTTGCGAAGGACAGACGGACAGATCCCCATCCGATAGTGGGACACACAACCAAATGAATAGATGTCTTCGCTAGATATCCTTGTAGAAATGGAAAAAGGAGGCACCAGGCTCAATGATGATGCAGAGGGCAGCGAGAAGAGTAGCAATGCTATCCAGAGTGGGTGGAGTTGAAAATAGCTTTTTCTCTGGTTGCCAAAGTTATTTTTCTATATTTGAAGCCATATGTGGCCTTTGTAGCCGGCGTCTCAAGCCTGCAGGTCGTGATCACATGCCAGGGTGTTGAAATCGCGAATAAAGCATGGGTTGAATAATGGTTCTGGCAGAAGGTCAACTGACTAGCCACTAAAGTAATTGAAAACAAAACAAGCGCACAAGTCTAGTGCACAAAAGACCACCGCCTATGCTTTTAGAATAGATGTCAAAGACGAATTTCCAAGGACACTTCGCTCGGACTGCCAAAGCGATGACTGCTATTGTCAGTTGCACAACTTGGGCTCTTCAAAAGAACAGAAGAGAACCGTACCACTAGGTATATATAAATACGTAATCAGTGTTTGTATCATTTTCTCCCGACCTAACTCTCCTGATTAGAAATGAAAGATGGAGCTAAGCTGGCACATCAGAAATTAACTGGGGAGAAGCTTAACGTTTCTGCCAGAGAGAAATTAGCCTGGATTACCTTCTGTATGATCATAATGGTATTGCAAATGTTGTTGACACACTGCAAGGCAGAAAGGCCGCTCCGTCAGCCGTTGAACCTAATCTCTACCACTGCTCTATGGACGACGGTTAGCTAACAAAAATATTTATCCTGATATGGAATGACGTGGGCTTCCCATCAGATGTACTGCATGTTGAAAAATAAATCCAAGTATACTACTATTTGATATCACTACTACATCAGCATTCAATATCTCTCCAAGTGTTCATTATTGATATCTTAGTATACATGTTGTTTACCAGCTTAGCCAGAAAAAGAGGGTAGTCCGCCGCAGTAAATGCCCCATCCTCGGGTTTTGCGGGCTCGGGTTTTGAGCCCGACTTTGAGCTCACGGCGGGTTTTGGCGAGGTTTTCATAGTATAGATATCATCATTGATTCATCTGCCACCTACACCGATCAAGCGACAACGTTGTACAGGAAAGCCCTTGTCTAATTCGTGCGAAAATGGGCTTTTTTGGGGGGAAGGCGCTTCCGCCGCCTAGGAATCCCACGGACACAGTACTACCGATCCCAGCATGGGATGACCAACATCGCATGCGCGCTTGTTGCCTGCATGTTACTTACCGATTCGACGACGTCCTTGACACAGAGGTCCTCCGCCAGTCGTTGGAGCATCTCTTGGAGTTGGATGGCTGGCGGACACTAGGAGCGCGACTTCGCAAGAAGGTGTGTATTGATATTACTCACATACTATGTTCGCTCGCAACTCACATACGTTAGGATGATGGAAAACTAGAATACCACATACCAGCGCAGTATGATGCAGACCGGCCTGGCTTTAACTACACCGTCGTTAAGCACCCTATGGGCATCAACAAGCATCCTTTAGCTGCTAGTTTCCCCCAAGCAACTGGCCAGCCATCACTCCTTGGCGACCCCGCAGATCTCGCATCTGTATGTCTGTCTGCGGATTGCCCCACGAGGATCGAGGACTGGCTATATTCAGATCGACCGCAACTTGTCATTGATGTGGTGTCGTTCGGCGATGCGACCTTGCTGACCGTAACATTCATGCACACTCTCATGGACGCTATGGGCCTTTCAAGTTTTCTCAAGGCGTGGACTGCTGTCATGAATGGACGAGAAGACCAGGTCCCAACCTTTCAGCAGGTCGGCGAAGATCCGGCGGCGCGCTTTACCGACAGAACCCCGGCCAACACCTACGTGAACAGCTCCTTTCTGCTAACCGGGGTCCGCCTCTTAGGTTTCATTGCCAGCTACCTCTTCGAGCTCGTCTGGCACCGTGGCCACAATGAACGCGTAATCTGCATCCCAGGACGATATGTCAATGAGATGCGGGAGCAGGCAATGCACGAGCTAGCCCAGCAAAACAAGGAAGGGCCTGCTCCCTTCCTTAGTGAAAGTGACGTACTTTTAGCATGGTGGCTCAAGGCCTTAATTAAGGCCCTAAATCCCTCCCCCCACCGCTTGGTGTCCCTCTTGAACGTGTTCGACATCCGTTCGACCGCCCTCCAGGAATCATCATCCACAAACACAGCCTTTATCACGAACGCTGCCCTTCCAGCAATCACATTTCTTCGCACCCAGCAGATTCTTCGCGAACCAGTCAGCTTCACGGCCTCCCACATCCGCCGCTCGCTCGTCCAACAACGCACTCTACCCCAGATCGAAGCGTTCTTTGCTTTTGACAAATCCGCATCTGAGAAACATCCACCGGTGTTCGGCGAACCTACCTCCCTTCTCGTCTGCTGCAGTAACTGGCACCGAGGTCGGTTCTTTGAAGTGGACTTCTCGTCTGCGGTTCTTGCACCGGGCATTCCGCTCCATGACCGTGTGCATCCGCTGGGCAGGCCATCATGCGTGATCCCTACCCATCATTCGGGTGGCCTTTCTTTGCGAAACGTGGGGCCCATCATTGGCAAGGATGCAAGTGGGAACTGGTGGCTATCGTGCACCGTGAGGACGAGTGCCTGGACTGGCATCGAACAGGAACTGAATGCCCTGGGCGCAAGAAAGACCCAGTGATGGTGGATTGGCGGAGGTCCTTTCAAGCCTTCAAGCTGAGAAGTGGCTCGGCTTTGCGCGGCGCAATGCATAGAAGGACTGAGGGCCCAGTCGCATTCTCTTCCTTATCAATCCTAGAAAAGGACAAACATATATCTTAAGGTTAATTTAATTTTATAAAGATCCTACCTAAACTCAGATTAAATGCAACTCTAACCTACCCTCTAGATTCTAATGCTATATCAGATTCTTTAGGTCAAGTACCATACTTGTTTAAGTCACTGTAAGCCTGACGCTTCGTTAGCTCGCGACTTATTTAGGAAATGAGACAAAGAGCCTTTCAGTAGCGATGACATTCAATAGTAAACTTCACTTTGAACTCAGGTGTTTCCATTCTTGCTTAGGGTGGTCCTTCCTAACAGAGCCCATCAAACTAACTAGAGATGTATGGGTTTTCACTTTTCCTCCACAGATCCCTTCATCCAGCAATCATATGGACTAATCAAGAAGCCAAAAAGAGATGCATCAATGATAGCCGAAAATAGGGATATATCACCCGCATGTAACACATCTAAAACAACTACTTGATATTCATACTTTATTTCTTCCCCGTCTTGGAGGCTGGCGAATAGTCGCCGCAAGGGTACCACGTGATTAGACCTCGGCAAAACCCAACCCGGAACACCCCCCTTGAGCCCAAAACCCAGCCCAGGTAAAACCCGGAACACCCCGCCTAAGCCCAAGCCCAGCCCAGAACCCAACTGGGCTACCCAGTTGGGTTACCCAGGTTGTTTCATTTTAGTATAATTTTCCTAATTAGGCCATGCCAAGACGCATAATTCTGCTGACTAACTTAAATAAAATAACGTAATCCATAAGCGAGCGAGACACCCAACCGAGCGAGACACTCAACCCCTGAAATCTTACAACCACCACCGAATCATCATCAAATCCAGCCTTTTGTCCAATATGGCATCAAATCCAGCAGATTCAAGCATCAGATTAGAAGATCGCATATCTCTTGCAGTCAAAGCATATAAAAATGGTCATTTTAAAAGTGTACAAGCGGCAGCAGCAGCATATGATGTCCTACATTCCACTCTAGCCCATCACATTAATGGTCGAAAGGCGCGAAGCAATATACCAGTGAACTATCAGAAGCTTACCAATCTTGAAGAGGCCTCATTAAAGAAGTGGATTCTAGATATGGATGATCGCAGCCTACCCCTAACTCAAGATATTGTACGCAAGATGGCAGATTTACTACTGTCTTAGCAGAAATCAGGTCCATCTACTGGCATTGGAAAGAACTGGGTTAGCAACTTCATTAAATGACATGATGATCTTACATCAAAATATACCCACAAGTATGATTATCAGCGTGCAAAATGTGAGAATCCTAAGATTATCAACTGGTGGTTTGATCTTGTTCAGAACACCATATTAAAATATGGTATTCTTGAACAGGATATCTACAACTTTGATGAGACTGGCTTTTAAATGGGTGTAGCTCATACAGCAAAGGTCATTACTGTATCCCGCCATTGAACAAGCCGCGTATGAGCTGTACAGCCAGGGAATTGCGAATGGGTTACTATCATTGAATGTATCAATGCTTCTGGGTGGCCTCTGCCCCCCATGATCATCTTCTCTGGCAAGGTCCATCAGTCTCAATGGTATCAAGATATAGACCCTGACTGGCTGATTGGTGTGAGCGATAATGGATGGACTAATAATGGGCTTGGCTTATCATGGTTAGAAAAAGTCTTTGAGAAGCATACTGCGTCGCGTACACTGGGAAAATATCAGCTTCTGATTCTTGATGGCCATGCTAGCCACGAATCCGCAGAGTTTGACCTATTTTATAAGAATCATCAAATCATCCCTTTATATATGCCTTCCCATTCATCTGATAAACTACAGCTACTTGATGTTGGCTGCTTTGCACCCCTAAAGGAGGCATATGGTGCAGAGGTGATGCGCAGTATTTAAAATAGCATTCATCATATCAACAAAGAGAACTTTCTGGATCTCTACAAGCGAGCACGAAAAGCATTATCACCTTCTAATATCAGCAGTGGATTCAGGGCTTCTGGACTAGTTCCATTGAATCATTAACAGGTGTTGGATAGGCTTACTATTAAGCATATCACACCACCCTCTACTGCTCATGGGCCTTTAGACGGAGATAGGGAATGGATAGTAAAGACTCCTTATACTACTACTAAGGTACAAAAGCAGATGCAGCTTATTAAATAACTTATTAGTTGCAACTCTGAAAGCCCGCTAAATAAAGCAGTTCGTTAACTAGCAAAAGCAGCTGAATCCACCATGCATAAAGTCATTCTATTATGACACCAGATGACTGAGCTTCGCGCAGCAAATGAAAAGTAAAAACAGAAGCATACAGCCCTAAGATCTTTTATTGCTACTGGGGGTATTCTGACAGGATCCAAGGGTCAGCAACTTGCTCAAGAAGCCATGCAGGCAATGGACTTGGTGGAATCAGTTCCTAGAAAGCATGCGCCACCATGATGCAGTAATTGCCATCAAATTAGTCATATTAGAACCAGCTGCCCTAGTAGATCCAGATAATTCGAAAATTTACATTGATTTGATTGTGTGGTAGTAAGATATCTCATGGTATTTCAGCATCGGCCAAAATTCGGTTTTGCTGTCTCGCTTGGTTGGGTGTCTCGCTCAGTTGTGGATTACATTACTGTTATTTACACCTGTTCCAGTCACCTCTGTGGTTTTGATTAATATATAGTCCTTAAACATATGAAATCTTAAGTAATTCGGCTGTTTCTTAATAAATCAACACTAGTAATTATCTATTATCTAAGTCTTAAGATAATATTATCATGTTGTGGTGGTTAATAAGCTACACCTGTAAAGGTACTCTTTATCACTGTAGAAATATATTTAAACTGCAGAGTATAGGTGTATCTTAATCAGACTATATTAAATTCCTTCTTTCTTTCAATTCACCTAAGGGAGAGATGGATAGTGAGAAAGGTGGTATTATTCATTACTAAGCTAATAACTAAGATAACTGAGAAGAAGGGATGGCAGCAAGAAGGATCTCTCATACCTAGTGATAATATTATTCTATAGAAAAGCTCAAACTTAGAAGAATACTGAAGGAAACTGGGCTTTCTGGATATTATGGGCCTGTTCCGGAACATGTTCCGGAACATGTTCTAGGTGATCTATTGGGTAGCCCAGAAAACCCAGTGTATCTAGATAGTACTATCCAATCATACCATTTATTCTATCTGCAGGAGGGTTAAAATATGATAAATTAATAACTTCAATTTGGCTGCTAGCTGACCGATGTGCCCCCCCTCTATCATCTGAATATTTTATTTTCTAGACTTGAAGATATCTGTAAGTTAATCATTACTTACTTTGCTCTCACCCCTAGCATATATTTCACTATATCTTAATTCTCTGACTCTTTCACTCCATCCTTATATAAATCTGATAGTATTGACACCTTCATGAATATCCCACAAGACAATCTTATACCTAATCTTTCTCATAGCCAACAGAGCTTTAATTCAGATAATAACTATTCTATATTTCAAACTCCAGCACCATCACCGCCCCCCTCCCTCCAGCATATTAGGCCTGATTACAAGAAATCCTACGTGCTTTATACTACAATGTCAAAGACGGAATTTGTTAAATAGTGGCTTAAAACAGAGTATGGAGCAAAGAAAAGAATATATTAGGATAGTGGTAGGCGCTCCTTAAGCATATAGGACAGCTTTAATTAAGTTGCACAGGCCAGTAATGGCAAAGCAAAGCTTATGTACAAGAAATGTGGTGGTATTCTTGATCATCCATATAATAATAAGCATGGCACATTAACTATAGCAAGACATCTAAAAGGATTGTAATGCCGTAACTTCTCTGCTAATTGTATAAAGCAGAAAGGCATTATGTCACTTATACAGGACACAGTAAGCTATCTTAATATCTACTATAACTATATTAACTAATATTGATAGCTATAACATCTTATAACTACACTAGTTTTCTCTTAGCAAGCATAGGAGGAGAAGCTCCTTACCTTTATTACAAGGGTAAAGCTTCCTTTTTAACTTATTAAACACTCTGAGTTTTAAGAATTAATTAAATTTACCTGACTTGCTCCTTCACAGCCTAATATTCCTTCCTCCCAAATCATTTAATGGCAGTTACAGGACATAACCAAGATATGGCAACAAAAGATGCTTGATACACTTCCATCTGGTATAAAGTTATTAATTACCCTTGATTGCTAGACATCTCTATTTTAACAGGCATTTATGGCAATCACAGGATATTTTATTGATGATGAATGGAATTATTGAGAAATTTTGCTTGGTTTTAAACCACTTCATAGATCTCACTCTGGTGCTAACCTAAGTGCTATTCTTTTTGACCTGCTTCAGCAGTATAAGATTATAGATTGTGTGCTTTCTATCACAACAGATAATGCATCTAATAATAGTACATTAATAGAAAGTATACAAGATTTAATCTAGTTAAATTAAATTAGTGCTGACACTATAATTATCTGTATTCCCTACATCACGCATGTCATCCAGCTTAGTTTACAGAAGCTTCTTGGTCAGATGAAAGCCAATCCAAAGAATGAGATAATGGAGATTAATTAGTCAGAGGCCTGATCACAGTCACTATGAGCAAGGCAGCAAAAGCAAGAGATTACTAATATACTTAATAAAGTGAGTCTTTATAACATAGCATTTAGATTATATTAATTATTATTCTACTATTAGGTGAGAGTGCTTGCAATTTTTATTAATGCAAGCCCTCAACATCATGAAGCCTTCTATGATCTCTAGACTAAAGCGCTAAAGCTTGTACTAATCTAAGATGTTAAGACTTACTGGAATTCCACCTTCTTAATGCTGCGAAGAGTAAAGAGACTATAGCTAATCTTTGATTAGTTCTACTTGCAAAATAGGCATGATCACTTAATGCTTGACTAAGAAGAATAGTGCTAGATT